TGTGTGTGTGTGTGTGTGTGTGTGTGTGTGTGTGTGTGTGTGTGTGTGTGTGTGTGTGTGTGTACACACTGCTTGTTGGGAGTTTGATCTATCTTCTGTTTTACAATATCCATAATTTTTATTATAACCTATTATGTGGAATTCTAAATTTTCAAAATTCATTTAGCATTGAGCTTATTTGACCTAGGTTGTCTGAAATTTTGATTTCAAATAGATCTACAGTATAGATGGATCCTTCTCATATCAATATACTCCTATTCCAAGTTGCTATTAAGAAAAATGTTTCTGGTTCTATGGTATATATGGTGTCTTTGGAAATAAACCAACTTTCTAGCTTTTATTGCTACTAATTTTCAAGTGTCCTCGCAAAACAAGCCTTGTGATGAATGGGGCAAGCTATCAATACCAATGCTACTTCGGAAGAGACAAGCAAACAGTCCAATGAAGACAAAGCCCCTCTGCTTCTCACCAACCTGCCTGCCTTCCGGCAGTAGCACACAAAACTGCTCTCATCCTCCTGTACCACCCTCTATCATTTCAGGCTTCTGAGGAATAGCTCAGGAATTCCAGTGAAGTGACCAAATTTTATTCTTCTTAAATATTTCTGCCCAAATGCCCGTCTCCTTCCATCCTGGTGAACAGGGCTGAACACTGCAGAAGCAAAGTTTGTTTCCTTTACCTCATGCTCTTGAGCCTGAAGGGCTGTCTTTTCTCTGCGTCACATCCTATCCATCAAACCTTCTAGAATCAAATGTACTGCTCCCTATCTGCAGATGATACCTTATCAGGAACATCAAGACAATGACTTCAAAAGCATCTGGGTCACTGTACTCCATCCTCCACACCTCTGATTAAGAGTTGTAATCTTTCGCTCTTATTACCAAAATATCTTTCCACTTGATATCTGTACTGGGGAGGTAAGATTTCCTTGTTAAGAAGATGACCTTGCAATGTTTTCCTAGAAATATACTGGGTTAAGATAAACGTGGAATGTCAGCTGTCAGAACAGGTAACATTGTTTATTGTAAAAAATGACCCTTTGGGAATTCCCCGGCGGCCCAGTGGTTAGGACTCCACGCTTCCTCTGCAGGGGACACAGGTTCAATCCCTGATTGGGGAACTAAGATCTGGCATGCTGTGCAGTGCAGCCAAAAATAAATAAATTTTAAAAAAGACCCCTTATTTATTGTGTCTAGACTAGAAGGATGGTGAGTGGACTATAGCCACCTGTTAGGAAGCAGAGGACTTGGCTTCTCCGTGTGTAGCATAACACAGTAACTGAGCATGTTCCTTGGAGGAACTGAGAAGCCAAGGTCATGAGCCATTTCATGCTGCTGGTTTCTGTGCACTAAGTGGCTTAGCTAAACTAGGGTGTTTCTGCATCCACCTCTATAGTCAGTCTTGTTCCCTTACAAGTAAGCTATCACTTGGTGAGCCAAAAAATGGCTTCTGGATTGGTATAAGGACTCCCACTGATTCTATCCTGCTGGAATACTGTTTCCTGCCTTGTATCCTTTTGCAAAGGTAAGTGAGTCTGATGCCAGATTATGGACTAGCAGGTGTCAATCAGAATTTAAGGACACACTGCTGATAATTATGTAGAGTGAGCACTCCAAGAGAGAAGAAAGGAGTCTGTCATCTACTCAGACCAATCTACTACTACAGTTTTGGCTAATAATATCAACAAATTTATTTGTTCAATGTTTTCCATCTCTGACCTCACTATATACTCTTCATTCCTACCAAAGCATCTTTCAAGAGTTTGGGAACAATGTGGAAGCCTCTCTGGGCCAAAACTACCTCTGAAGTTGGTGCAGTTGCTAAGGCTTAGCTTTTTTACTAGAGAGAACCCAAGACCTTTACAAGAAGAGGCCAGATGGAGTAGCTCAGTCCAGAGAAGCAGAACTCAGGTGCCCCCAGCAACCTTCTCCTTTAGGTCGTAGTACCTGTCAGAGCTTCTACAGAAACTAAGTTGAGAGAAGAGGAAATGAGGTATATGAATTGTTAAGTTCCTTGGCCTTAAGGTCTTATCTATCCTATGCATGTTTCAATAAGAAGGGCATCTGCTATAGAAGTTCCACTTGTCTGGACTGACATACAGACCAGTAAGGGAGGTAGTATCAAGGAGGGCTTAGGATTATTAGGACTTGGTGGAGTCAGGCAAATTTGAGTATAAGTCTTAGTTCCAACATTTAGAACTATACAATCTTGAGTAAGTTATTTAACGTTTTAAACTTCCATTTCCTCATCTGTAATAATTATTATTTAAAAAATCTACCTCACAGAAGTCTAAATGAGTAATATAATCTAGGATGCACAGTACCTGATATATAGTAAGTGTTCAATAAAGGACAGATGGTGGGGTTAACAACAATGATAATGCAGCAGCATGCAGTAGTTACCAACATTTAGAAAAAGAAGAAAAAAAATCTTCACTGTTCTGCTCCCCATTTTGGAAAGGCTGCTTCGCAAAATCAAGATCAGGAATGATGAAAGTATAACAAACAATGAGAGCAGGATGATGATAGGAGTCAGATGATGTGACAGGCAGAAGCAGTGAAGCAAAGCTTATATAAGATTCAGACTTAAAAAAAATCTATGGCCAGTAGAATAACAGCTGTATCCTTACACTACACAAGGCTCTTCTTTTTTATAGTATACTGACTCTGGAAGAACAGTTAGAGCTACAAAGAGGAGAGTAGTAAAAGCTAAGACTTGGAAACGTATTTATCTTCAAATGTTTAAAAAGCAGAAATGCAACCTTAATCTGAACTGATAATAATTATATATGTGCGTAGGTTTTCTTACTTTCTAGTCTGTCTTTGGTCTAGATGCCTCCCTTCTTTCCTACTCCCTGATAACTGCCAAAAATGACTAAATCTATTTTCCTTCTTACTCTAAGAAACTAATCTTGCAACTCCTTAGTAGCTGTAGTGAAAGGCTTAGAGGAAGCTGTAATAGGAACTATTACATAATATATGTGCTTCAAAAACATGTTTTAAAAAGTTTATAGGACATGACATAACATCAAGGCAACTCAAGATGAAGTTTCAATACCCATTTGTTACAGCATTGGGCTCCCTGGAAAATAAACATCATTAACTGCAGGCTGAAAAATGCTCATCATTCCAGCACTTTCTTGATTTAATAAAAAATGAAAAGTTCTTACACTTGGAAAAATTTATGGTAATTAAATTCAATCCATGGCCTATTAAAAACCAAAACTGTAATGGCAAATATTCAAAGGATCAAAAACCGAGAAATGCTTTGGCAAGCTGCTATATGAACTTGGGAAACTCTACTGAGAAAAGAATGGCCCTGGACATTAGAAGCTCTGTTTAACTCATCTTTAAACTCTGGAAGGAACAGTGAAAGCCACCTTTCTTTAAAAATCAGTCTTTTGTGAACAACATGGTTTTTCAATAGACTGAATTTGCTGGGAACTGCATGTGCTCAGAATTTGAAAGTTGTTTGTTTTTAAATTTAACATTTTTAGTGAAACTCAAGGGAATAAACTCATGGGAATAAATAGCACATTAAATCTATGAGGTTGTAGCATTTAAAGCTTTCAAGTTTAGCTATTCCGCAGCATTTAACTATCTTTTACTTTTAAGACATTCCAAAGCATAAAACAACAACCATGAGGGACATTTAAAGTATTTAAGATTATTTGGACAAAAAAGAAAATTAAGCCTGATTTATCGAAGTTGACAAAAGGTTATACCAAACATAGCAACCACTTGTCTTATATTTCTGGAGAGGGCAGAAAAAGAAAACATGAGCTTATACTTATCTAAAAACAGTCTGGAATTAAAAAGTCTTCCCAAAATAGGGCATTTAAAAATCAAAATAGGTTATAAAGGAAAACTTTAGAATTTATTACTCTAGATAACAATTACTAATGTGGGAGGATCAAGTAATTAATGAAGCATTGAATGAATACAGTACACCGAGCTTTAGATGAATCTAACTTTAGTTACAGAAATTCTGCTCTTTCCATGACTCCAGAAGGTACTGGGTACACACTATATTTTTAAAATGGTCTTTGGAAATGTCTTTGTATAATTATGTAAGCTCAGAATTCTTGTCTTTTAAAAGCCATTCTTTAAAAATTAGTAAGCTATTCCACAATTATATCAAACTAGCCAAAAGAGAAAATGCCATATAATCTTTGTATAATAATGCAAAAATATTTTAAAAGTTTAAAAAAAGTTATGTGTATCCCCAGAGTAAACCTCAGAAGAAAATACCTATACACAAAGTTCTTACTAATGAAGTCCATCTGGGCAACTGCAGCAACATGAATCTTCACCTCTTTCCTCCCTCCAATTTGGCTTAGGTAATCCACTGTCCATTTGCTTGTACATGTCCCCAAATCAATTCCTTCCAACACTAGAGGTTTTCTCTGTGTGGAAAAAATCAACCAAAAATTAGGGAAAACCAACAATGTATCAGGAGCTGTATTTGGTAATAAAGGGATAAAAACAAATAAGAAATGATTCTTTATCCCAAGATGCTAAAAATCAAACCTTCTGACAATTCATGCTGTAACTAAAACAGGAAGAGGACACATGTAATATAGTTAGAACAAAATTTTAACATTAGGAAATCAAAACCAAACAAAACAGAAGTGCCACCATAAGCTTAGAAACAAGAGAAATCTGACTATTATTTAAAGCATTCTCTAGAGTGTTATTTATGACAAAACATACAATTGATTAAAAGTTGTGCTTTATACTCAAATACTGCTTGCAACTTTTTATTTTGACACCATTCTAAACTTAATGAAAAGTTGTAAAAACATTACAAAGAACTCCCATATACCATTTACTCTGAGTCACTAGTTGTTAATTTAACATTTTGCTCCACTTACTTTACCATCTGCTCTCACTCTTATTATATGTGTACAGAGAGAAACATATTAAAGATAATTTAATGTTTTCTAAACTAGTTCAGTGTAAGTTGCTGACATCATGCTCCTTTATCTCTAAAACTTGAGTATATTTTCTGAGAACAAAGACATTCTTTTATATAACAACAGAACAATTATCAAAATTATATTTAACACTGATATAATACTTTAATCCAGACTGTATCCAAATTTTGCTAATTGTCCTTATAATATCCTCTATATTTTTTTCCCTATTTCTGAGATGCCACATTGTATTTAATTACTATATCTCTTTTACTCTGGAACAGTTCCTCAGACTCTCTTCTATGACATTGACATTTTTGAAGAGTACAGGCTAGTTATTTTGTAGAATGCCCTTCAACTTGGGTTTATCCGATGTTTCTTCATGATTAGATTCAGGTTACTCATTTTTGGAAAGAATGTACCACAAAAGCAATGTTGTGTCTTTCTCAGTGCAACACATCAGGTAGCACATGATATTTTCCCTATTATTTATGATGTTAATTTTGATCAACTGGTAATTCCTGCCTCAATCAAGTATTGCTACAATGAGTGTAAAAATCGTGATTAAAAAAAAACAACTCCATCACCTTCTACATGTACTAGTTGGTATTCTAATGTAAAAATCAGCTCTAACTTCTCCATTCACTTATTTTATTCACTGAGTTATATTCTACTGATATAATTTTGATGCTCAAGTTATCCCAATTTGGCCAGCAGGAGTCCCTTCGAGCTGCCTCTTGTGACGTTTTACCTGAGCACTTATTACTTTATGGAAAAATAATACAATCCAGTATCCTTTTACATCTCTGTCCAAGCCCTCTAGTCATTTCTTCAAGCAGCTCTGATTTCTTCTAGTGGGGAATGCTGTTTAGAAACCACAATCTGGGTGCTGAATGTGTTTATGACTATTGGTGTGTCATTACTTCTAGGCTTTCTCAGTGGACAGAGCTAGGAAACACATGAAGGTGTGTATATACTCACTCTCTCCTCCCCAAATATACATATATACACACACATATTCTGCATATGCATATAGTTATATCTATTTCTCTTTCTCTCTCAATATGTACTATACACACACACACAAGTAATGGATGTATGATGAACCATGATACTTCCAATATGGATACCTAATTCTGATCTTATACCACAAGATTTATTCTAATATTCATTGTTTATATATGTGTAAACTCCCTTCTCTTAGTGGGAAACCTGGTCCCTATCATCCTCAATGTTTAATCAATTGTACAATCCCAGAATTCACAATAAGTGCTTTTGCAATTGCTAAGTTATACCACTGTAAAAAAAAGTCTACAAACTAGAATTCAGTATTGTTTATGGTTCTTTTTGTTTTTAGACTGATATATAATCAAAGAACTGTGTTCAAAAGTGACTTAGGTTACTTCTCCTCCTCTCCCTTACTTAGGTTCACTTGTTACTTTTATATTTCCACCGCCCCTACTTTTATATTCTATATTAGAGTTTGGTTGGTTTTTTTGAACCATTCCTTATCCTTGTTAATTTTACTATTATTATTACTGTAGAATATAAAACAGTAACGTGATCTCCAAAGTCAAAATTATACAAAAAAGGTCACCGCATCTATAATCACCCACCTCATAATCACTCATCCCCTATAGATAACCAGGTCTCATTAATGTCTGGTTTATCGTCCCTGTATTTCTTTTTTGCATAGTGACCAAAAATATATATACTTTCTTATTTCCCCTTCTTTTTTATACAAAAAGTGTCTTATTATGTATTGTTTTTATAATTTGCTTTTTTAAAAAAATTTAAAAATATATCCTGGAAATCACTACTATCAGTTCAGATTATTTCCCTCAGTCTTTTTTACAGCTTAGTACACCTTAGTGTAAATGGACAATTTTATCAGTCTCCTATGCATAGGTTTTTAGGTTATTTGTAATAATTCGCAAGCATAATAAACACTAGAAATTTTCATACTGTTGGAAATATATCCCCAGAGTAAATTCCAAAAGAGGAATTGCTATATCATAAAGTAAACACATCAATAGTTTTGTTAGATATGCCAAATTCCCCTCCATGAGGGTTGTACTACTTGGCATAAAACGTGAGAGTACCAGTTTCTTCAGAGACCTACAAAGAATATTATTATTAAAGCCTTTTGATTTTTGCCAATATTACAGATAAATGGTATCTCAGTTTAATTTCTCTTATGAATAAAACTGAACATCTTTTCATGTGTTTAGATGCCGTTTTTATCTTTTTGTCAACTGTTCATTTTTTAATCAGATTTTTGCCCTCCCCCCCATTAATTTTTAAAAGTTCTTTACATACATGGGTTTTTACTGCCCTTTAATGAAATATGTTGCAAATATTTTTCTCCCAGTTCGTATTTTATGTACAATTTTAATCATTTATCACACCTCAGTCATAGTTAGAAAGCCCTTCCATAGACCTAGATTGCAGAGAAATTTACCCATGTTTTCCTCTAGTACTTAACGTAGTTTCTTTTTTTTATTTAGATCTCTGATCCATTTGGAGATCACTCTTGTGTACGGTGTCAGATATAAATCTAATTTTATCATTTTCTAAATGACTGTGACCATCCACTTGTCCAAGCACCATTTATTTAAAAGTTCATCTTTGCCCCAGTGATTTTTAAAATGTCACGTTCATCACATGCTAAATTTCCATATATATATAAATATCTCCAGAGCCTGGATAAATACTTGTGTGTGTGTACACACATCTATCTTCATCCAGACTTTCTATTTTATTCCTCGTCTGTCTATTCATGCACCCGTACCACACTATTAAATATTAAAACATGTTTAAAAATCTGATAGGACTATAACCCCTCACAGCTTTTCTTCAGTGTTTTTAGGTAAAAATGTCTTGTTTTGCAATTTAGTTATTAATTTCTAGTTTTATTACATTGTGACCAGAGTGTTGTTTGTAATTTTCCACTTTATGAAGCTTAGTGATGCTTTGTGACATATTGTATGTCTTGTCTGGGAAGCTTAAATTACAAAACACTTTTTGCTATTCATCTTCCAAAGCATTTCCACATACATACATCATTTGGTCTTCATAATACTGTCCTGGAGGCATCTTATACTAACGTGTCCTGCGGTGGGGTAGGGAGGACAGCAACCTATCTAGCACTAGTCTCCCAAATAAATTAAGGCTTGAATCCTCCCTATAGGTTGCTGACTCCTAAAGAAAAAAAGTTCATCCCTGACTTTTGTAATACTCAGGACTGTAGCTCAATGACCACCCTTATAGGTGTAAATATCAACTAAAATTGCTGGAGGGGGGGCGGGTTTCTTTATCATGAGCAGGCTAACTGTAAACCTGTGGGTTTTTTTTTTTTTTCTGTAAATATCTGCTGGCCTCTTTATTCTTAGTTTTTCTGAAGCCTGGATTCCCTTGCAAAGCACGGCAAGTAAAAACACTTTTTTTCCCCATTAGTATTTTTCTCTGAGAACTAAGGTTCGAATTATACGTATAAGAGAATCGAACGTCTGAACTAGAACCCACGTTAGTTAGAATCCAAGACCAGTGGAAGTTTGTCGGGGGATTCCCATTGCTTCCCCTTTTGGCTCAGTGCAGTGAAAAACTTCTTCAGATCCAGTAACTCGCGTAGACTGACAGGCGCCGTTCAAGCCACTGGCTGTGGTTGGGGGCAAAACCTCCTCTAGATTTTAGGAAACCCGATGGAAGACTGGTGGTGGTGGTGGTGAACTCCCTGGGTTGCCATGGTAACGGCAGAAGACTTCGTAATCAGACTCCCGCAGGGCTGCTAAGCAGCTAGCAGGGCTTCCTGGGCAAAATATTTCCCGTACAGCGCTCTGCCGTCAACCTGCTCCCCAGAAACGTGGAACGGAAAACTTAACAGATGAGCCAGTCAACATCCCCCATGTGCCCTCTCCCTTGGCCGCCGGGCCAACCAGCCACCTTAAGCCGACAGCCACCTCCTCCCACACCCTGGATCGCAAGAAACCAATTCGGAGCCGCTGGAGCGCTAGGGACGGGTATCCATCGGCTTCCCGCGGTTCTGCCCCGCAAGAGGGCCTCACCTGCGGATACAGGTGCTCCATGAACTGCTCCTGCGAAACGCCCTCGAGCCGGGGTACCAGGAAGCACTGCCCGGCCATGGTTGCTCACGCCCGTCCTCTTCCAAGTCCTGGGAACCTCGGCCCTAACACGTTCCAAACGCGCGGACCGCCCGGAAACAGGTCCGGGAGAGAAAAGGTCCGCGAGGCTGGCTGAGTCGCGAGAGCGGCGGGTTCCGAGCGCGGGGCTGGGGGCCGACGGGCATGTGATGGAGAGCAGGGAAGTGGCGAACTCACCAGAGGTGCAGTAACAGGCCAGCTTGACTCTCCAGTCTCTTTCTCCGAGTCCCGCCGAGGTGGTTTCCCGCCGACTTCATTTCCGTACTGCACAGGCAAGGGGTGAAAGGTCACAAAAATGGCGCTGGCCGTCAGTCTTTTACCCCGCTTGCTGCTTTCTCGGCCTCTGCCGGGCTCGGCTGCCCGACTCTGGACTCCCGGTTCGGCCGACGTGTGGCCGCCGTTGGCTGGACTTTGCTGCTTCTGCCGCCGCCGCCCCGGCTCGGGAGCGGCCCCATTTCCTCGAGTCTCTTGGGCCTCCGCGGCCTTGGCGCTGCCTGCTCGGGCTCCTCAGCGTCCCCTGCTCAGCCCTCTGGGACTCCCCACAAGCCTTCCCGCTTTTCCTTCCTGCCCTCGGCGAACCTACAGCACCGAGGAGCAGCCCCAGCAGCGCCAGAAAACCAAGATGATCATCCTGGGGTTCTCCAACCCCATCAGCTGGATTCGGACTCGAATTTACTCCTTCCTTATCTGGGCCTATTTCGACCAAGAGTTCAGCATTGCAGAATTCTCAGAGGGAGCGAAGCAGGTTTGTTTATTTCTCTACAGATAATCTCTCCACCTCTCATGCATTCAACTATTAGACACGCAGAAGTGTTTAGCGGTGGGGTTTCCACTGGGTCTCAAATGATAACATGTGGGTAGTGACCCAGACACAGCCCTCTGGCCACTTCTTGATTTAAATTAAGCTTCTGCTTCTGTTGCAAGGTCGCCGAGAAATAGGGTTTCGATGGAGACACCAAGGTGAAGTCCCTTAATTACTTTTTCTACTCTCTACAGGTTTTGAGTCAGAAATGGATTCAAAGCCTCTTTCTGCCACGTAAAAGCCACATGGCTTTATTTTTTCTGAAAAAGACAGTATTGATCGTATGCTGGTATTGATATATTTAATCCTAGCTTTTTTTCAGATTATTTCTATAAACACAGCCATTGATATTTATTTATGTGACCTGTCAGTTATAAATTAAATGTTTTCAACTTTATAATCAATGTCAATATTAACTCCTGCTTTTGCTTCCCCGAATCAACTCCTGACTGATTTATGTTTTTATAAAAAAATTAAAAAGTAAAGAGCAAGCTTGATTAACAGCATTGTAAGGGATAAACCTCTGCTCATGTCAGTTCTCAAAATCTTTTGTCCATGCAGAGGTAAATGGGCGTGATGCTACTGTTCTCCACCACTCTGCTGATGACTTGAGCTTGTCTACCTCATGCTTATTTATGTGTCAATAAGGAATGGAAGTCATCTCCCCACTATGGGCAGGATTCAAGCCTAAGTCCCTATTTTCTCAGAACACAGAGGAGCATGGGACACTTTTTAGTCACTCTTTGATCCTAAAGTTTCTCCAGCTGTGAGCTATTTTAGCCCTCATCCTTGCTATTAAGTAGTATCTGCACCCCTTCATCAGCCAGTTTGTATACAGTCTTGCCTCATCTAAGTCAATTTTTGTGCATTTAACCATTCTGATTTCCAAAAAGAATGTTGGGTCATCCATGGCAAATATTTAGTGATTTCATTAAACCAGCGGTTACTTTAACATACCTTTCAGATCAAGCAAACCAGTTTTTCAACACGTACGACTTCAAAGAACATAGCTGAAAAACCTTCCTCCTACTAGACCTCATAAGGCAATTATACCTTCCTTTGCATAGATGTAATTCTAGGACTTGGGAATAATCCGATGCAAAAACACTGGGTAGATTATCTACTCTCATGGGCTCAATTTGCCCTTTCCTCTTAAACTAACCTCCTATCAATAAGATGTTATCTTGGGATGTGAATATCAAGTTATCAATTAGATCATGTTCTTTAAGATTTTTTTTAATCATAGAACATAAAACAAAAAGGGACCTTCGTGCTCATTATTCTAGTCTAATTCTTTCAGATGATAAAAATCAAGTTCTAAAAAGGTGAAACGATTGGCTCAAGGATTCATAGCTAGCAAGTGCTGAGGTGCATTGTCCTGTAACCCACTCTATAAGCAGTCTTGGTCCTCCAGAGTCACTAGAAGTTGAGATGGTTAAGTACAATCTAGGCAAGCTTTCTTTAAAAAAAATTTATTATTTAAAAAAAATTTTTTTGAAGTATGTTGGTGTACAATATTATATATGTTATATATATATATAGTACAGGTATGCAATGTAGTGATTCACAATTTTTAAAGGTTACACTCCATTTATAGTTATTATAAAATATTGGCTATATTCCCTGCGTTATATGATATATCCTGTAGCTTATTTTATACCAATCTAGGCAAGCTTTTATTCATCATGTGAGCCAGAGGAATAGGTGGTCCTTAAACACCTTTATTAGCTCCACAAACCCTACTTTCCATTGATAGGCACATATGACAATATACCTTCCCTATTACTGCCCTCAAACCACTAACCATGTACTGTCTGTTTTCCTGTATCTTGCTAGCATATTTTGGCCTTTTCTATGAAAAAGAGGGCTATTTCCTAGAAGCCTGTTTAGGTTAGGCAATCTTATATCACCAAAGCCTTATCAGGGCAGCCTCCTAATGATTCATTATTACCTTATAGAATAGTTTGCTCAGGTGTGATCTTCTTTGGCCACACAAACTAGAGTCTCATGTTTGGGTTTCAACATGATGGTTATGGTCTTTGTTTCTTCTTACCAAATTTCACCCATCTTCTGCACACAAAGGCTTACTAAAACATATAGTGTTTCTGAACCCTGAGATCCTCTAAAGTGTTTTCAAGGGATCCTCGAATCCATTTGGAAGTGTGCTTTTCCTCAAAATTCAACTCCATTATTGCTAGGGCTGCCGCAACAAAATACCTCAATCTGGGTTGCTTAAACCACAGAACTTTATTTTCTCACATTCTGGAGGTTGGAAGTCCAAGTACAGGGCGTTGGCACCTTGTTGGTTGGTTTCTTCTGAGGCCTCTTTCCTTTTCTTGTAGATGATTGCCTTCTTGCTGTGTCCTCACATGTTGTTTTTTTTTCCCCCTCTGCATGTGTGCCCTAGTATCTCTGTGTGTATCCAGAGTTCCTCTTGTAAGGACACCAGTCAGATTGGAATAGGGCCCACCCTCATTTGACTTCATCACCTCTTTAAAGGTCCTGTCTCCAAATATAGTTACCTTCTGAGGTACTGGGAGTTAGGGCTTCAGCATATGAATTTGGGGGAACACAATTCAGCCCATAACAATTATGAGTATTGTCTGTCTGACACACCTGTGCATCCTCTTTCTCTTGCCAGTTCTTGAAATTTCATCTTAGATATTACTTCCTTTAGGAAGCCCTCTCTTTTCCTCGCAGATAGCTTAAGTGCTCACCTGTATGCTCCCAAATCATCCTGTTCTTATTCCTGTCATAATTTTTGAACTTGTCAGTTTTCTTGGCTCCCTCCTCAAGTAGACTGCAAGCTTCTCGAAGACAGGTAGAATCTTAATGCACAATTCCATTCCTCACTGCTAGGAATGTGGAGGATTTCAGTTGGGTCCCTCCCACTTTAAAATGGGATCTCGTACTTCAAAGTTGGGATCTACTGTATTAGATTGTGCAAACTCATTATCTTTTCTCCCGCTTTACCAAACCTGCCTTATCTATCTTAATGAGGTACAACTGCAACCCAGATCTCCAGACTCCCAGTACCATCTAGGTTGTGCTGCTCTGTATTCATGATTAAGAGGAGGATCATATAACAGTCACAATGGTTGATTACTTCATCATTATTTTAAAAGGAAATATATAGGAGATTTTTTTATTGAGGACATAGTATGTACACCACACACAATCTTTTCCCAGGTCCTTGGAGTAGATATATAATTAGCAATCTGCTCACTTACTACTGTCCATGTGGGAAGGCTACATGAGAAAAGAAAAGTCAACCAACTTTGGAGGAGTTATGCCTAACACCGATATCTAGTGTTTGACATTGTCTATTGCCTTTATCATAAAATAGTCTTTGTTACACTTAGACATTCAAGTATGAGCATTGTACATTGTATGGTATTTCACATGATATCTTGAAATAATAATCACCACCCTCCCCCCACTGTTTTTTTAAGGCTTTTGCTCATGTGTCCAAGTTACTGTCACAGAGTAAGTTTGATCTATTGGAAGAACTTGTGGCCAAAGAGGTAAAGTATACTTTTATTTTTCCTTAAAAAATAAATGTATTATTCTCTTGCAGTAGAATGATATACGTTGTCCTTATTTATGTTTTAAAATAGTATGCATGCTTACTTAACTTCTTGTCTTATATGTAAAGTGGGATAGTAGTAGTATTGTTGGGAAATCACGTGAGATAGTATATGTAATGTAGAGCACTTAGAATGGTATATGGTTCAACCAAAGACTATATATGTGTTTGCTTTCTTCATGGTATTTTATTGTGTATATGCAATATAATTAATTTAGCTAGTTTCCCATTGATCAATGTATAGCATTTTCAATTCCTCTGCTATTCCAATGTTGTTGTCAATATCCTTACATATCCATTACCATTGACAAAAAAAAAAGTCTCCTTATTTTTCTCCTAAAAGATTAGCCTTTCGTATTTAGATTTTCATTATTCTTATGGTTGTTTGACTTTTGTATTTGGTTTATATTAGAAATCTATGACTATTCCCACTGCCACCCTTAAGTAAAATAAATCACCCTTAAATAAAAAAATAAAATAAAATAGTATGCATGCCATCAGCCAAAGTAGAGTCCCTGTATCTTGCCTTTTGGGTACTTGGGGTCATATAAAAGTATAGAATGACTTGCTACTTAAGGCATAAGTAAGTTAATATGATGTCTTTCAGTTCTTATATAGAATTC